CCCCCCCCCCCTGAAAATATCTTCATTGAGGGTACGAAAAGGGCGCCGTGTAAAATTTAAAACAAAATGAGAGAGTCGGCTCGCCCTTATATTATTATGATGTCTTTATTTCTTAAGCGGGTAGGCATTTCAAACTCTATTTACAAAAAAAAAAACCCCAAAAAAACAAAACCAAAAAAAAAAACCCAACAAAAATTGCTCTAAAACCGTTTTTCTAAACTTCATAATATGACTACGTTCTGAAATCTGAAGCTACGCATTGTTGAGGATTCGCCATCACACACACAAGATAATACATATTATATACAAATATAAAGCTCTGAGCTCATTACTCTATTAGGAGCTGGGGGATGGGAATCCATTTTAAAGCAACAACATTAAGGTTTTTATAGTCTATGCATGTTTGCTTCTCTCCAGCCTTGACACCACCACAATCGAGTTCCTGGATATGGAAAGACAAGAGTAGAACAAATTAAACACTCCTACTCCTCGGCCGGATGCCACATCTGTAAGGACCTGGGCCCATGACAGCGTTCGGTTTCCAAGAACGTGGGTCAGGGTCCGGCAGCGGCACGCCGTCCAGGGCGAAGAACTCGAAGTTTTTGACCAGCGTGACGACGATGAGAAACATCCTTGATCTCGCGAATGCCTCCCCGGGGCACGACCTGCTCCCGATGCCGAACACCAGCAGGTTCTGCCTCAAGGGGTGGTCCGCCTGCACCAGGGCGCCGTTCTCGTCCAGGAAGCGATCCGGCTTGAACGTCCACGGCTCCTCCCACTGGTCTTCCCGGCGGTGGCAGTACCAGACGTTGGCGAGGAGAATGGCGCCTTTCTGGATGGTGAACTCCCCCAGGGGGACGTTGTCCCTGCAGTAGTGGGGCAGCAGGAATGGGCCAGCCGTGGCGTAGCGAAGCACTTCTAAAATGGCGGCCTCGGTGTAGGGCATGGAGCCGCGGTGCTTTAAGCTCGGGGGGTCGTGGCCTATGACCTGTTTAACTTCGGCGTAAAGTTTTTCTTGGATTTCTTTATGGAGTATGACCAGTAGGAAGAGCGTGTTCATGGCGTGGGAGGTGGTCAGGAAACTCGCGATGGTCGTTTCGCACAGCAGGGCTTTGATGACGTCATCTTCCAACATGTCCTTGTTGCCGCCGTCCTCGTAGGTGGCCTGCGCCGTAAGCAACTGGTCTACGACGCCCCGCTCCCGACCTCTGACGTAGGTCTTTTTGACATCATAAAAATACGCATCGACCAGGTTGTCGCGGGCCCGGATCAAGTCGTCATACTTGGACTTGAAGGACAGCCCGGGCACGAAGCGCAGGAACGGGAAAGGCTGCAGGACGGTCTCGTTGTCGAAGAAGAACAAGTCGCTGAAAGCCGCGTCGAACTTGGCCAAAGTCGCCAGTTTTTCACCGCTGTTGTCCGACCCTTCGCCGGCCAGCAGCGAGTCCACGACACGGAGGGTCGCCGTGGAGATCTCTTGAGACAGGTCGACCGCGTTCAGCAGCTGCATCTGGCCGGTGAGTTTGTTTAAACTTTTCATGAAGATCTCCTCGAACCGAGCCACGTTCTCCCCGTAGAACTTCAGGACGCTGTGGAAGAGCTTCCTCCTGACCCTCTGCTGCGCCGTTCTGGACGTGAACGCGACGCTCTTGTCTCCGTAGACGACGTACTTGCTGATGAAGGTCGGCGGTCGGTCGTTGGTCAGCTCTTTCAGGGCAGGGCTGTTGAAGAGGTGGCGCACCATTCGGACGTCGTTGATGTAGACGATGTCCTGTGTGAAAAGCCTAACCCTGACGACGTTGCCGTATTTCTCCGCCCACGTCGAGGCCAAAACGTGAAGGTTGTTCTTCCTGGCCCCACTTATGAAAGCCTTGATGCAGCCGAACCCAGAAGGGCCCGGAATGAGTTTACATTTGGCCCGGTTCCGACTGGCCCTGGATCTCAGAAGATAAAAAAATGCCACCAAGACCAGGAGTGCTAGACCGATTGTTAGGAGGGACATCCTGTAGGTAAACAAGAAAAAAAGATAACACATGAATGACGTTGGGGGTGGATTAGCCGAACTGGGTTATGTAACGGGACGAGGCTAACTAGAATGGATTAGGATAATCCTTGAATTGGGTCGGGTTTAAAAATAAAATAATGTTTACCGTACTTCTTTCATCTTTATTTTGTGAAAAACAAAAAAAAAATATTTTAATGCATATATATATATATATATATATGTGTGTGAGTGTGTGTGTGTGTGTGTGTGTTTATAATTTTAAAAATAACCCATTTCCATCAATAATATAAATAATAAACCCATCTGTCTGCCAAGCTTAGCGTACTTTGATTTTGAAGATCTGGTTAATTTTATCCGTGGCCTTGACATGTGCAGTTAAGTTTCTGGCGTAAACATCTCCACGTATATCACCTGGCTAGTGACCCCCCCCCCTACCCCTCCCTGATTGGCCAAACAGCCGACTGCCGCTGTTCCACATGAACAGCAGTTGTGTTTTTTTTAACGTGTTGTTAATTAACATTTTTTTTTTCTAAATAACAAAGTGCTTTGGCGTAGAAAGCGGGGTTGGGGAGGGGGGTGTTGCTAAGGAGATGGTCAGCCCCGGGGGCCATTTTTTTTCTTATATGCGGCATGCATATCTTGCCCCCCCCCTCTCGCGGCACTGAACTTAGATACCCCACTGCTAACTTTAAATGTGCCATGCAATATTTCGACGTGTGTTAGTGTTAAAACATAAGCTTACCTGCTAGCCAGAGGGATAAAAACATGGAGAGAAAAAGATATACCGGTATATATATATATACAGAGAGAGAGAGAGAGAGAGAGAGAAACAGAGACATAGACATGGTGAGAGGCAGAAATATAACGAAAAAGATGGGAGGGAGAGAGAGAAAGTCAACGAGAGAGAGAGAGAGAGAGAGAGGGAGAGAGACGGAGGGAGAGAGAAAGGGAGAGCGTAGAAAACAAGCGAAAATAAAAAAAAACAAGCAAAGAAAGACGGTATATTGCTTTACCGTGTTACCTTATGCAGTCCGTCTATCCTAGACTCAACACTACTCTAATACGTTTCTTCAAAATCTTTACCTTCTGATTCAATCGAACCTAATCACAATCATATAAATACAAAAAAAGACATATTTTAATAGATGTATTCCCAAGTCGCCTCATAAAGGCAAATTTTCATCTTTATATCTGGAGCCAACTCCGGTCCCTTTATTCTGATTGGACTAAGGATTTGTGACGTCATATATCCTTTTTTTCCCCAGTTGCCCCCCCCCCCTTTTCTTGAAACCTATACGCATGAAAAAAAAGGGGGTGGGAGCAAGAACCCTGTTCGTTCAATGACTAGCGTCAGCACATCAATACTAAACCAGGGGGTAGGCTACGCTTGAATGTCCACGCATAGCTGTCCAATACCCCCACTGCTAAATAATGTGTATTTGATGGGAAGGTGTGTGTGTTTGGGGATGGGGTTGAGTGGGGGGTGGTGTTAAACTTAAAAGTAGAGGTTCTAGTTCTATAGGAGATGATCGCAATTCAAAAAGTCAAATGTTTTGGTGAGTAGAGTCATCTATTTGGTAACTGCAGAGCCAGGGCCGTTCTTAGGAGTTTTTTTTTTTGGGGGGGGGGGGGGCTAGGCAGGGAGCGTAGGTAGAGGGCCCCGGAAGGGAGAGGGGTCCGGGGGTGGAGCTCCCCCCCGGAGCTGAGGAGAAAACACCAACCACCACTGCGGCACCCCCATTCTGCCTTCGTCACTGTTTCCTCTTTGCTGGCGTGTAACCACTAACCCTATTGATAATTCCGCCACTGGAGAAAATGTTTACGTCTGTAATAAATGGACTTGGAGGTGGGAGGCTAAGAAAAAAAACCCGCCCGGTTGGGTCCCGTTAGGAGTGGGGCCCTAGGCGGCCGCCTAGTTTCCCTAGTTTTCCTAGTTTGCCTAGCTTTCCTAGCTTGCCTAGCTTGCCTAGTTTGTCTAGTTTTCCTAGTTTTCCTAGCTTGCCTAGTTTGCCTAGCTTTCCTAGCTTGCCTGGTTTGCCTAGTTTTCCTTGTTTTCCTAGTTTGCCTAGCTTGCTTAGTTTGCCTAGCTTTCCTAGATTTCCTAGTTTTCCTAGTTTTCCTAGTTTGCCTAGTTTGCCTAGTTTTCCTAGTTTTCCTAGCTTTCCTAGTTTCCTAGTTTGCCTAGTTTTCCTAGCTTGCCTAGTTTTCCTAGTTTGCCTAGTTTTCCTAGCTTGCCTAGTTTTCCTAGCTGGCCTAGATTTCCTAGTTTTCATAGCTTGCCTAGCTTGCCTAGTTTGTCTAGTTTTCCTAGTTTTCCTAGCTTGCCTAGTTTGCCTAGCTTTCCTAGCTTGCCTGGTTTGCCTAGTTTTCCTTGTTTGCCTAGTTTTCCTAGCTTGCCTAGTTTTCCTAGTTTGCCTAGTTTTCCTAGTTTGCCTAGTTTTCCTAGCTTTCCTAGATTGCCTAGTTTGCCTAGTTTTCCTAGTTTGCCTAGTTTGCCTAGTTTTCCTATGCCTAAGAACGGCTCCGGCAGAGCATTTTATCCTTGCTAGTGTATCACTTCAATTAATGAATGAGAATGTAGAGCATTTTATTGTTGATAAATTATCCCATTTATTAATGACTCAAAACGTAGAGCATTTTATCTATGATAATTTAACATATTTATTAATGACTGAAAGACGTAGAAGATTTGAACCATGATTATGTGTCGCATTCATTAATGAATGAGAATGTAGTATTACAACCAGGGCTGGATTTCCCGTGGGTTCAAACTACCTCCACGGCCTAGGGCGCACTACTTCAAGGTCCAATTTACAAGAAAGGGGAGCATTCCGACCCTGCCAACTATCGTCCGATATCCCTCACCAGCGTCGTCTGCAAACTGTTGGAGCACATAATCGTAAGCACAGTCATGAAGCATCTTGAAAGCCAAAATATACTCAATGACTGTCAACATGGCTTCCGAGTCAATAGATCATGTGAGACCCAGCTTCTCGAATTTGTAGAAGACCTGATGACCAATCTGGAGAACCACAAGCAGACTGACGTGCTAGTAATGGACTTCGCAAAAGCATTTGACCGGGTGAATCATAGTTTGCTTCTACACAAACTCCAGAGATATGGGATTCAAGGCACCACTAAAACATGGATCTTTAGCTTCCTCAGCCACCAACGCCAAGCAGAAGTGGTGGGCGGTACAAGCTCCTCCTTTGTCTATGTGAAGTCAGGGGTCCCCAGGGATCAGTCCTGGGCCCCTGTTTGTTCCTAGCATACATTTATGACCTACCCGAGAAACTGACATCACAGGCAAGACTGTTCGCAGATGACACGGCGGTGTATAGGACGATCGCCTACAGATCTGACCAGGACCAGCTACAACAGGATATCAATCTGTTAGCTGAGTGGGAGATGAGCTAGGACATGGAATTTCACCCTGCCAAGTGCCAGACACTATCAATCTCTAGAAGTTGTACTCCTCTACACTACCAATACGAACTGCACCGCCATATACTTGAGCAAGTGTCCGTAAAGTACCTGGGTGTTACCATTCAAAGAGTGGTCCGCTGGGACGAGCATATTAACAATGTATGTAACCAAGCAAACCAAGCCTTGGGGTTCTTAAGGCGAAATCTAAAGATTGGCAACTCCTGTGTGAAAGAAAGAGCATATAAAGCCTTTATCCGTCCGATTTTAGATTATGCATCTTCAGTCTGGGATCCATTTACCCAGAAGAGCATTGACAGGTTGGAGGCGGTCCAGCGACGAGCAGCACGCTTTGTCCTAAACCGCTACAGGAATACCTCTAGTGTTGGCAGCATGCTAGAAACACTAGGCTGGTCACCATTGGAGAAACGACGACGACAATCCAGGCTCTCCATGATGTACAAGATAAATAATGGGCTGGTCCACTGTTCCAGTATTAAACAGAAACTCGTCCCTCTCCCCCATAGACAGCGACGAGGCCATGACAGGCAATTCAGGCTCATACCAGCAAGAAGCCAGTATAGGAGCTGCTCATTCCTGCCCAAGACAATCAGGGACTGGAACAATCTTTCAAAAGGAACGGTTGAGGCGACAACACTAGACACATTTGTGTCTATTGCCTCAAGCCTTCAAACCCCTAGTGCATGATTTCCTCATCATCACCAGTAACAGAAACATTGCAAATCCCATTTACATGCATAGGAGCCAAAATGATCAATAAATTGATCGTGGGCCCTTAAGATATAGAAGAAGAAGAGTCCAGACTACCTCAACGGCATATGGCGCACTACTTCAAGGTACGGACTGAGTCCAGACTACCTCCACGGCCTAGGCCGCTCTACTTTAATGGCTGGACTTCCCATGAGTTCAAAATACTTCCACGACCTAGGGCGCTCTACCTCAAGGGCTTGGCTTCCATAGAGGCCAGCCAAGGCCATGACCTAGGGCGCACTATATGCTTGGCTTGGTTTCCATAGAGGCCAGCCACGGCCTAGCGCACACTATATGCTTGTCTTGGTTTCCATAGAGGTCAGCCACGCCCTAGGGCGCACTTTATGCTTGGCTTGGTTTCCATAGAGGTCAGCTACGGCCTAGGGTGCACTATATGCTTGGCTTGGTTTCCATAGAGGTCAGCCACGGCCTAGGGCACACTATATGCTTGGCTTGCTTTCCATAGAGGCCAGCCACGGCCTAGGGCACACTATATGCTTGGCTTGGTTTCCATAGAGGTCAGTCACGGCCATGGCCTATGACGCAGCAGTTTGGGGGGGGGGGACATGAATACAGAAAAAAATTACAAAGACATATTTACAAAATGTTCAGCATTATTTTTACAGTTTTCAATGTACAACTATTTACCTAAACATAAATTGAGCATGAACTGTCTCAAACTAACTTGAACTGTCGTGTTAAGTGAGAGGCAAAGAGCATTTGTTCTTTCTCTCTTAACCCACTCGGCGTGCACATCGTCTTTAGGCGGCAATGTCAGAAATTGCGTTTCCACAGTGATTCCAAATGATTCATTACGCTCAAATCACTCAAGTTATACATTGCTACTCAAAGTAAGGACGTAAAATATCTCTTTACCCCAGGGCCGTAAGCATGAAAGACGTTGGCAGAAAAAGTTGATAAATATTTTCGCAAAACTAAAAAGGTTGGGGCTGGGGTCGGGCTAAGACATCTTTATTAAAAAGCACGTGCAGTGCAGTAGTTTAGATTTGAATTACAAATATAATGTAGAGGTAGGATTAATTTGGAAATTATGAATCAACTTTTTTTTTTTAAGGGGGAAACTTTGGGAGGGGTACACATGTGTGAATCCGACCCCTTACTGCCTCTTTGAAAATATCACATTTATAAATGAAGGAGGATGTATAGCAGTACCTTTAAGAAAAGTTACCCCACTTTTTTAAATGACGATAAAGAAGAAGCTAGGTTAATAGGAAACTAGGTTAATAGGAAACTAGGTTAAGCCGACGAAGTGTGTGAGTGTGTCTAGGAGTTTCACCTTATGCTGCTTGTTTATTTTAGTAACGAGTACATTTACCTTACTAATGCTAGTTCAGTTCGACCATACCTCATGCTGGCACAATTTTTGTAGAAGTCTCCATGCATTATACTGGCACAACTCTTGTGGAAGTCTCCATGCAGTATGCTGGCACACTTTTTGTAAAAGGCTCCATGCATTATATTGGCACAGTTCTTGTGGAAGTCTCCATGCAGTATGCTGGCACAATTCTTGTAAAAGGCTCCATGCATTATACTGGCACAATTCTTGTGGAAGTCTCCATGCAGTATGCTGGCACAATTTTTGTAAAAGGCTCCATGCATTATACTGGCACAATTCTTGTGGAAGTCTCCATGCAGTATGCTGGCACAATTCTTGTGGAAGTCTCCATGCAGTATGCTGGCACAATTCTTGTAGAATCTCCATGCAGTATGCTGGCACAATTCTTGTAGAAGTCTACATGCATTATGATGGCGTAATTCTTGTAGAATTCTCCATGCATTATGATGGCGTAATTCTTGTAGAATTCTCCATGCATTATGATGGCGTAATTCTTGTAGAATTCTCCATGCATTATGATGGCGTAATTCT